CAAATAATGAATATGACTGCAATAAATCATACATTTTTTTTTAATATGGAAAATGATTCCGGAAGAAATTTCAGCCTTCTGAAATGCCTCTATTCACTTATTGGTATCAGACTTGTTAAATGTATTAAGGCAATTTGGTTATAAGTTTTTAATTGCAAAACAGCAATTCAAAAGATGTTGCATTGTTGATGTATAATGCAGTGTTAAGGTATGATCTCAAGTTTGGAATCCAGTTTTGGTCATCTGACATAAGGAGAATATTGCTATGCTAATGAATGGGTCTGGTACTGACCAGCATAATCAGTTCTGATATTTACATTTAAATTCTTAAAGATTAATGAACTTCATATGCTTTGGGAATAAACTGGGGCTTTAAAATAAGCTAATTTAATCTTCAAGATTCAGAAGGAGTGTTAACATTTCTCCAAATGTTGTGAAGAAGTCAAATATAGTCTCAATATTTGTAGGAGGTGCATTCATTCAAGTGGAATCTTAGATGTCCGGTGCATTCCCCATCCAAGAGCTATATGTATTCTTTCCCATGTAACTCCACTATGCTGGCTGATAATCTTTCTCTATGTGATCCTGTACATTACTCATTACTCATTCCCATCCCACTGCGTTTAAAATTATCGACACTGCATCTTTTCATTTGGTCTTAGGCATTCCTTTTCTCCTTTCTGGCAGTCCCTTCAGTATGACTCACCTCACCATCTCTTTCTCTGTAACATACGACAATACCATTCTCAGCTGCTTTCTTTGATGCTCCCATAACTTTTGCTGAGCCCTCGATGTTCTGGTTCTTGATCTTGTCCTTTCTCATTACTCCACACAACCAGCTCAGCAGTTGCGTCTCGTTTGTATCATTGTTGTTTGTCTATACTTGGCAATGTCTATTTTTGAAGCAGAAAGACTGGGAAAAAACCTAACTGCTCCAGAGATATGTCATAACATCTCTGAACCGGCCGATTAAAAATATCTACCTTTCTACTGAATGTTGTCCAGATGTCTGCACTGTATAACAGGACCGGTCCCACAAATGTTTTGTATGCCCTTCTTTTCAGTTTCAGCAATACCTTTCTGTCACTTACTCTAAGTAAATCTAATCTTTTACTTAATTTCTATTCCTATACGTCCAACTTCTTCCAGGCAATGGCCTCGTTGTATTATCGCTCGACTGTTAATCCTGAGACCCAGATAATGTTCTGTGGACCAGTGTTCAAATCCCGCCAAGGCAGATGGTGGAATTTGAATTCAATAAATATCTGGAATTACAAATCGAATGATGACCATGAACCCATTGTCGATTGTTGGGAAAAACCCATCTGGTTCACTAATGTCCTTTAGGGAAGGAAACTGCCATCCTTACCTGGTCTGGCCTATTTGTGGCTCCAGACCCACAGCAATGTTGTTGACTCTTAACTACCCTCTGGGCAATTAGGGATGGGCAATAAATGCTGCCTAGTTAGCGACACCCTTGTCCCATGAATGAATAAAGGAAAAAAAAGCACTTGAGACTGCACACTTTACCCAATTTTTAAAAAAAATTCATCCATGGGATATGAGCGTCACTGACCAGATCAGTATTTATTGCCCATCCCTAATTGTCCAGAGGGCAGTAAAGAGTAAACCACATTGCTGTGGGTCTGCAGTCATATTTAGGCCAGACCAGGTAAGGACAGCAGTTTTCTTCCCGAAACGGCATTATTGAACCAAATGAATGTTACAACAATTGATGGCAGTCAGAGTGGCCATGATTATTGAGACGAGCTTTCAGACTTCATTTTTCTTCCCAAAATGACATTACTAAACCAGTTGGGATTTTTTCTGATAATTGGCAACAGTTTCATGGGCATTGTCAGACTCTTGATTCCAGATTTTTTTTCATTGAATTCAAGTTCCACCATCTGCCACAGTGGGATTTGAGTCCATGACCCCAGAACGTGACCTGGTTCTCTGGATTAATCCAGACTATCAATAATTCCACTGCATAAACACAATCCATAACCTATTCGCTATGACTTTGGTCCTCTTGTCAAGTTTGAAACAGTCCTTAATTTGGGTCTTTGGTCCATGATCTTCATACTTTTGTTTTCCAGCCAATGCTAGGGAGAGAAGTCATGCGCCATTATGCTTTATGTTTCGGCACCCCTTAATGTTCCTGACACCCATCCCTCCCCTTTCTGCTTTATATGCTTCGGGTATCGAAAATTGGGAACCATTGTCACCGTGGGGTTAAATAGCATTGCATAGGTTTCAAAACAAAATCTTGGCTTTTGTGCCCCTTCTCTCTATTCTTAAAAATCAAAAGCTTTCAGTACGATACATGTCAGACAATGACACACAACATAGTCACTCACATTATGTAACCAGCTGTGCTCCTTTGTTAGTAGCTTTGTACAACACCCATACAGCAACATCCAAGGACTTGAACCTCACAAGCACAGAGTCAATAATCTTATTGACAAATGAAACTATATTGAACAATAACATATATTACTGGAACAAGCTTAAAAATGACAAAATCTTCTTGAATATTAGCATCACTGTGCAATAATTTGCAACTTCAGTCTATGCAACTGGACTCTGTTAACAGAAATATTACATTTAGCACTGAATGATAGACATGTTCTCATTTTAAATTGAAACTAACAACTACAAATGTCTACTTCAGTTGGGCAGAAATTACAAAAACTTAAACACTCATACCAACAGATTCAACAACACCTCCTTCCCTGCTGTTATTAGACTTCTGAAAGAACCTCTCAAATTTTAAATTTAATGTTGATCTCACTCTTTGTGCACCTTCTCTTCAGCCGTATCATTGTATTTCTCGCTCTGTTCTATTACCCTGATGCATTTTGTATGGTAAGATCTGCCTGTACCGCAAGCAAACCAAAACTTGTCACTGTACCTAGGTACATGTGACAATAATAAATCAAATAGAAAAAGAACAAGACACTGCAGATACAGGAATTCTGATACTTGAACAGAAAATGCTGGAAATGCACAGCCAGCCAAGTAGTGTCTGTGGAGAGAGGGAGATGGATTGAATGCTATAGGTCCATAATACATATCAGTTCTGATGAAGGGTCACTGAGGTCTCTTTCTCTCTCCACAATTGTTACCAATCTTGCAGAGTTATTTTTTTAACACTTCTCATCGCTACAGGAACAAAATTAATAAGTCATCCTAAAGGAAATCAGATTACTCATCCCACCTCATAAAGAAACCCAACTGCTTAAGATTTCGTTTGGAATGACATTAACATGAATTTCCAAATTTTAAAAAAATAATTAATGTATGAAGAAAACATGTAAACAAGTTACTTAACAAAACAAAAGCAATAATTCTGAAAATCAAAGAATTCATAATAGCAGCAGAGATTACTAATAAATCTTTCTTTTCTGTTTCATTTTACAGAGCTGGAAAGAGTCAACTAGGCTCAGGACCTAGTTACTAAGGAATGAAGAGTGGACTGGGGCCAAGGAGTTGGGTTTAATTAACACTGACTCTGCATACTCCTCTGGTGACACATTTTCTCAGTTGGACTTGGCAGAATTCAGATTGAAACTGGGGTTGAAAATGGGTTACATTTCAACCTTGATTTTCCTCATTTTCCCAAGCAAAGGGTGTGCGTGTGTGTGTGTGTGTCCTCACCCTCACTCACTCCTCACTTACCTTCAGTATCCCTCACCCTCACTTCCCCCTTACCCTCACTCCCAACCCTCATTCCCACTCCCTTAACTCCTATCACCTTCGTCTTCACTCCCAATCAGGTACAGGTACAGTTATATTGTGTCAAAGACATTTGGATAAGCACATGAATAGGAAAGGTTTAGAAGGATATAGGCCAAATACAGACAGGTGGGACAAGTTCAGCTTGGGATTACTATCAACGTAATTACTTGGAGCGAAGGGTCTATTTCCATGCTGTTTGACTCCATGACTCTTTAAAACAATCTGTCATAAGGTATGTCTCACTTGAAGTGACGCATCAACCATTGGCACTGACCTTAAAATCCTTCTCCGCAAAATGAATGGACAGCAAAACTATGATGGGGAACTTTGGAAGTGGCATGAATGTAAAGAGAAAATAGAACTTAGAACTATACAGCAAAGGAACGGGCCCTTCGGCTCACAATGTTATGCTGAAAATGATGCCAAATTAAACTAATCCCTTCTGCCAGCCCTTGGTCCCTCCATTCCTTTCATATTCACGTACTTATCTAAAATTCCCTTAGACGTCCCTATTGTATCTGACCCACCATCTCCCTGGCAGCTCATTCCAGACTCCTACCACTTTGTGTGCAAAAAACTTGACCCTCACATCTCCTTTAAACTTTACCCCTCTCACCTTAAATGCATGCCCCCTAGTATTAGATGCTTAGTCATTTGCAAACACAAGTGACTGTCTATTTTAAATATAGACATCTCAAGTGCTGGAGACTGGACTCAAGAATGCAGCTTAACATTATGTGATGACGAAGAGGAGGGGCATTGAGAAGAATGCTTCTTTCAGAAGGTTGTGAACCTTTGGAATTCTCTACTCAGAGGGCTGTTGAAGCTCATTGTTTGAGAATGTTAAAGGTAGAAATTGACAGATTTATGTTTGCCAGTAGTGTACAGGGTTATGAGGATAGGGTGGGTAAAAGGCATTGCAGTGTTGACCAGCCACGATCATGGGCAGGCTCGATGGGCTGAATGGCCTGCTTCTGTACCTAATAAGAGTTTTTCACAAAGGGCAATAGATTTGTAGAACACGCTAATAGGGAAGGTAATTGTAACAAATAATGCAAGTGGATTTAAACGGAGTTTCCTAAGGTCAAAGATCCGAGAGATGGTGAAATAAATGGCACAGTAAAGCTACCATAATCTGAATCCCAAACATCCAAAATTGCAAATGGCATCTGGGATTCAAAAGGGGAATTCCAGATGCTTGGGATCCAGATAACGGGGAGTCTACTGGAGGGAATAATGGATCAGATACTTTATTGAAGCTAGTTCAAGGCTGACCTAATCAAAAAAGACAGAATCATCTTATGCGACAAGATACTATATAGTATTTATGAGTGGTCCTGGCTGCTAGTTTTAACAAATGCACATTCATTTTGCAACAGTAATGCATCAGGTTCTCCTGGCTAATAGTCTTCATGCAATCGTCAGATTCATGAAAGAAACAACCCCAACATTCCCCAGGGCATTTCAAATACCAGAGAGATTACCATAATCAGGATCAACTCCTGATAAAAGGATAGACCGAAACAATATCCTGGAAGTTCCTAAATGCCATGCTCAAAAACACTGACTGCTGTTTAGAGTTCAGTTGTTAATAAAGCAATAAGAAAGTAGTCTACTGTTTTGTTACTTACTTAAGAATTGCAGAAGTTTCCTACCTGACTTGGCTGGACTCAGCTGTAAATAATCCGTAAAGAAATACCAACAAGCCGACCAGGGCAGCAGGAATAAGCATTCCAGTATACCATCCCAACCATGCAAAATACAAGCCAATCTTCTCACCAAAGTATCGCCTGCAATGAATGATATAAAATTATTAGCATGGCACAACATTGTGCAGAGCTGTGTCTCCTGGAACAGGATTTATTGCTAAATGCTACAAGCAAGCAGACATTAATATGTAACTGAGCTAGAAGAATTGCACACCTTAAAAAGTGCCCAAGATGCACTGTGGAAATTTGATTTCATTGTCTACAAATACAAGCGTGGACAACTTTCACAAATTGCAATCTAAGATAACAACACCTCCCATCTGCTCAATTTGTATTGCTTGCCTCGTTCCTCACTGTTATTTTTCAGAAGTTGATGTGCTGCAAATATACATTGGACCAGAGCTTAGTAGAAGCTGGCATAGTCACAGAGGGCTGCTGTCTCATTAGATGAGAGAGAGATGACCGGCAGGGAGTTTAACCTGAGGGTCACCGCATGAAGGGTAAGGTTGAGAAGGAAAGACCTTCATGGTAACCTCAGCTGGTATGCCATGAGACTAGGAATAAAAAGGTAAGGCAGGGGTATATCAGTAACAGGGAAGAGGGACCTGTTTACTTTGGGAACATGATCGGCGTGGACTAGTTGGGCCGAAGGGTCTGCTTCCATGCTGTATGGCTTTATGACTTTATAACACGCGTCGTTGGGATTACACTGAGTCACAAACCAGATGTCCAGCCAACTCAGCTAGCCCACTCTGACTGGAGAAATAATGGCACTATTAACAATGTTGACGTCAATAATGAGCACATTTGCCAGTAAATTTAGGATGTTAAAAGAACTCCGGCAAATGATGAATCTCCAAAAATTACTGACTTATTTATGTCTCTCATTTGCTTCAGGAATCCATGTACTTAGTGAGGGGAATCACAGCATGTTCAGTACACGGAAGTCACCAGTGTCCCTACTTCGAGGTCAGGAGGCCTGGATTCAAGTCCCATCCACAAAAGGTGTGTAATAACATCTCTGAACAGGTTGATTAGCAATATCACTGTGGAGGCATTTACAGTGGAAATAAACAGCTAAGCTACTTTTGTAGAACTACCATACTGACATCTACTTGATAATAGTAGTTGAAGAGGTATCACTTTTTCTCTTATAAGCCAATGTAGATAGATTGTTGTTTTACAAAGGAATCAAAGGTAATCAGATAGATTGGACTGTGGAATTCAAAATACAAATAGAGGAGCCATTATCTCATTGAATGGCAAAGCAAGCTCAAGGGATCAATTGGCCTAATTCTGATCTTATTTTGTATCTAATTTAGAAAATCACCCAGCCATATCTTGTGTACATAAAGCAGATCAAATCCAATTGGCCAATTAATACCCGACCTCTTATTTGCAATCATCAGTAAAGTGATGGAAGGTGTCACCAACTGTGTTATTAAGCAGCATTTGCTCAACGATAACATGCTTAGTGACGCCCAGTTTGGGTTCCACCAGGGCGACTCAGATCCTGACCTCATTACAGCCTTGGTGCAAGCACGAATAAAAGAGATGAACTCCAGAGGTGAGGTGAAAGTGATTCCTCCAGGAATTCTCTGCAGGAGCTCCTCAGGGTACTGTCCTTGGCTAAACCATTTTCAGCAGGTTGATCAACAACCTTCCCTCCGTCATAAAGTCAGAAGTAGGGATGTTTGCTAATAATTGCACAATGTTCAGCACCATTTGCAACTCCTCTGAAACTGAAGCAGTTCATACCCAATGCAGCAAGACCTGGATAATATCCAGATTTGGGCTGACAAGTGGCAAGTAACGTTCACACCAACCCAAGTGCCAGGCAATGGCCATTTCCAGCAAGAGGGAATCTAACCATGGCCCCTTTACATTCCATGGTGTCACAATTAATCAGAGACTGAACTGGGCTAGTCATCAGTACTGTGGCTACAAGAGCAATTCAGAAGCTACGAGCTTGAACCAAGTAATTCACCTCATGATTCCCCAAAGCATATTCACTACCTAGAAGGCACAGATAAAATTCTCTTCACTTGCCTGGATGAGTCCAGCTCCAACAACAATCAAAAGACTTCACTCCATCCAAGACAATACAGCCCGCGTGACTGCCATCACATCCACAAATATTCAATCAATCCACCACTGATGCTCACTAACAATGGTATGTACCATCTGCAAGATGCACTGCAGATATCCACCAAGGCTCCCTGGATAGCATCTTCAAAGCTACAGCCATTACCATCCAGAAGGATATGGGCAGCAAATATATGGGAACACCACCAACTGCAAATTTCCTGAATTGGAAATATATCACCATTCCTTCATTGCCCCTGGATCAAAATCCTGGAGCTCCCTCCCTAATGGCTTCTTTTACTCAAGACTGCATTTTAACTGAATATATAATCATACTTCACTATCTCACTTTATATACACTGATTATTATTCTGAACTTATCGTTTATGTACTCAAATACAGCCAAAGTACTGTGGATCTGAAATCAAAACAACCTTGGCTTAGTTGATACCAGTTTGCCACTTGTTTAATGCATACATTCATTCCTAAGAAATTAGGTTTACTGAAGAAACCTGGTGAAAGGATTTTCTGTTCCAGGTACCAGTGATAAAGCAAACCAAATTATCAATTTAGTATTTGAGTAAGGTTCTCTTCAGAGTTGCAATTATCTCCTTTTCCTTTAAACCAATCTTCCTTTCAACTTCTTTCCTTTGTGCCACTTTGACGCTTCTATTCATAGAGCTGCAGAGCACGAAAACAGACCCCTTCAGTTCAACTTGTTCATGTTGATCAGATATCCTAAATTAATCTAATCCCATTTGCCACCATTTGGCCCATATCCCTCTAAACCTTCCTATTCATTTACCCATCCAGATGCCTTTTAAATATTGTAATTGTACCAGCCTCTACCGCTTCCTCATTCATTTTATTTCTTTCTCAATCCTCAAATGTTGTAGGTTAAGAGGGTGGGTTGTTGGTTCTGCTATTTCCCTGTGTCAATATCAAGTCAGTTGCCCCGAGCTCACATTGTCAGCTTGCAATTCCAGCAACTTTAGCTGCAACAAATTTCTCACTCAATCAGATGATTTAACTCACGCGACATCCAGGACATCTCCCACTTCAGCCAGATATTTCACAAATACGGATTACATTTTCGAAACGTTCGTAACTTTAGCCTCCTGAGGTTCTGCCCTAATGGAGGTCAGCGATGAGGTGGTTGCGGTCAGTGGCAAAGGATGGCAACAGCAACGGTCAGTGGCGAGCGGCAGTGAGGCCTGGCGTGCCCCAATGGAGATCGGGAGCAGCAGCGGTTGGCAGCAAGGGTGGCTGGTGAACATAGGCTGGTCTTCGCCCAGTGTGGGAAAGAATGCCCAGTGCAGGGGAGAGTGAGGCCTTTTGGGGAGGGCCCAGCTTAGAGCGTCTGCAGGCTCCTGGCTTATGAAAGGACTGTAATGTTTGACATTTTAACTCTATTTCCTTATTTTTCCACTTTTATACTAAGAAGACCGTAGTGCTGAACTTTTTAAACTTATTTCTTTATTTTTATACTTCTGTAACAAAGATTTTGTACCTGGGTACTTTGTACCAAAGATGTTGCCATGTGGGACGACGTTGTACACTTTTCACTGTACTCTTATACTCTACTTGAGTACACGTGACAATAAAACCTAAATCTATCTATCTATCTAAATCTAGCTCTGAAATTCATAGTGATGTGTAATCTTGAACATTAGCGTCATTGAGACTTTGAACAGTTGAGTAATGCACTCTGTAATTTAACATGTTTAAACAAGCTGAGACACGCCAATACCATCCACAGGAACAATATATTAATGTTCTGTAAATATAGCTTTGCTTCGTGTTTTGATCTGAAAGGGATTCGTGTCATTATTTGTTTTACTTTTATACCACGAAAGTATTCATTTGAATAGGGCAATTAAATGGACAATTTTATAGAAAAAGATACCATTTTGGTAAAATTACCACCAATTTGGTAAAATTAGTAAAGACAAACTTTATTTTGATGCATTCATTCATGGGCTAGCATCATTCACAAGGCTGATGGTTTGCTGCCTGTCCTTAATTGTCCTTGAACTGTGTGACTTCCAAGGTTGTTTCAGAGGCAGTTGAGTCAACCTTATCATCGTAGATCTGGAGTCACCTGTCGACCAGGCCAAGTGAGGACAGCAGATTGCCTTCACCAAAGGATATAACTAAACTAGATTGGAGTTTATGGCAATTGAAAATAGTTTCACTTAAAAGCAAAATACTGTCAATGCTGAAAAAGAATGCAGGACTGGCTGGAGAAACCCAACAGGTCTGGCAACATTGGTGTAGAGGAATAGAGCTAACCTTTCGAGTCTGACATGACTGTTCTTCAGAGCCAGAACATTTTCAGAAGAGGAGTCATTCTGTGGATTCATGTTAATCATTAAACAACTGTAGTCTCAAGTAAAGAATCCAACATCTCCTCAAGGACCAGAAGGGCTTTTTAAATTGTGCAACCTTTGTACTATTTGCATTGGACACTCTCCCCATTAGGTGTTTGATGTCATGATTTTATTATTTTTCTTCACAGGCTTAGAAAATTATAAAATTCCTTTTCCTTTTCATGGTGAAAACCTTGGTAACTTGCACCCTCATTTTCTCCTGAACTTCATTTTTAATGAGGGGTGTTAAAAAAAAAGGAGTCAAAATATTTGTTGTGGCTGATTGAGGGGGAGTGGGGTTGGTGTTTAAAAAGTAGGGAGCTAGTTCACCCCTCTCCACTTGATTGTAACAATGTGTTCCTGATGTTTACTACCACGCACTATCAAGCCTTCTCAGACTCTCACTCGGGAATTAGGAGGTCCACTGTTAGTTTGATCTCCTGAAATTCAATTCCCTGGTCAGTGAAGCTGGTTGTGGTGAGTAGACAGTCACTAGCAGCCTTCATAGCAATGATTTATTTGAGTCAGAACAATTATTTTCTCATGATCTTCCATCTTCATCCTCTGAGTACAGGGAACATCTCTGTACCAGTTTGAAAACAGGACTAAAGCAATTTCTGGGCCAAAATATTGATTATGGGCAAGGAATCAAAAATAGATAATTCAATACATTTTTTAATTGGAGACTTTACATTTTCTCCTGGTAGCATAGGTTTAATGTTAGATGTGCTTAGCAGTCTTGTTTATATACTTACTTTTTAAAGATTACTATTTTCCAATGAAACATTGTACTCAGATTTTTACTGTGTGGACATTCCTATTTCAGCAGTACAGCAAATTCCAGTAAATTTGAAGTAATCTGCATTTCTGATAATCTCTTTAGCAAATTAAAAATTCAAAACATATTAGGCCTCAAACATGGCACCGTGAAATCCAAGTATGCAAATACTGTGATTAATGTAAATATGATGACACTTAATATGAATTCTTTGGACATGGTTGTGACCTTCAGGGCTAAGTGTGAACAGCCAAGCTACAACATACATGAAGATAATCTTCCTACCTGATAAGATCTAATGGTTGGTATTTGTACCACATTCCCCATCGAGCCCAACGCTCATACAGTAAGTGCCTGTGATTAAGTGCACCATGTGTTTTGATTGGATGGTTGCTCTTGTAGCTTCCCTGTATAGAGAGATAATTATTTAAAATTATACAACCAAATCTGTAAAAGGTTCTCACGCAAATACATATTGGGCTTGCAGAATAGAGACAGAAAAAGAGACAGACGCTGGAAAATCTTTTCATCTTGCACTCCTCAGGACAAAATGCAAAAATGCCAAATTTCAAACTACAATTGTACAAATTTTCTATTGGGAGACTGGGGACTGTACAATTACTTTCTCCATGGCAATGCCACAACCAACATGCCAACCAATCAGCACCTATTTCTCCTGTGGTATCAATTGTTATGACTGTTTGACATTTGGCGTTCTTGCAGGTGTCCTGATGAGTGCATGATGAAAAGCTGCAGCAAAATGTCTTTCTTTTGAGCAATATTTACCTTCTGTTCCACCTCTGATTACTTATTAATATTGCAAAATTAAAAATAGGACAGTTTCTTAGAAATATGGATAAAGTACATCACAACTCATCTTTGGATAGATATGACGCAAGAAATGGGGATAGCTTTTGTAGTACATTTGAGGCATAATACTTGAAATGATCCAAGGTAAATTAGCTTCTTTAATTATTATTCATTCACAAGATGAGGGCATCGCTGGCTAAGCAGCATTTATTGCCCATCCCTAATTGCCCAGAGGGCAGTTATAAGTCAACCACATTGCTGTGGGTCTGGAGTCACATGTAGGCCAGATCAGGTAAAGAAGACAGTTTCCTTCCCTGAAGGACCAGATTGGTTTTTCCTGACAATCGACAATAGATTTACGGTCATCATTAGATTCTTAATTCCAGATATTTATTGAATTCAAATTCCATCATCTGGCATGGTGGGATTCAAACCCAGGTCCCCAGAACATTATCTGGGTCTCTGGATTAACAGTCCAGCAACAATGCCACTAGCATATAACCTGCCCGAACATAACCAAAATGCAACATTGCCAACATTGTCAAATCTAAGTTCCTGAGCATAACCGATAAACTGGGAGAAAAATGGAGACACAATGGGACATGACTGATACCAGTGAGGTAGAAGGAAGAATGCTCTGATCCACAGGTTTTGACAGATTGAGGGTAGATAAATAATAAAGCACTGAAGCTTGTACAGAAATAAAAGGGGAAAAAAAAACACCATTAAAGTTATGTGAAACTTGAAAAGAAAGATTTCCTCAAGTGTTAGTACCTGAGATTCAAGACAAAATAGCAAAAATGGAATATTGATACCCAGAATTCGATGAGGTTAGAATGTCGGAGTTCTCTGACCCCTTTGGGAATGAGGTAGGAGACAAAACAATGGGAGAGGTTGTCAGTGTAATGTATCTCGAGTGTTTGATAAGCAATACAGAATATGTCGCATCCATTTAGTCCACTTAGAAATCTCTCTCAGATTTATTTCATGGCCCAGTCTACAATTTGTCATTCCAGAAAACTACGTATGCAGCGTGTACGTTGCCACTGGATTCCACACAGCTGCTGACATATTGTTTCACCTGGTCGTTGGCTCAACTGCTTGTCCAGCTCTTTAAAGAACTCACAGAATCATAGGATTGTTTCAGTGCAGAAGGAAACCATTCAGCTCATCAAATCTGCACATTCTCTTGAAAACAGCATCATTAACTAGTGTGAATTTCCTGACTTTTCCCTATACCCTTGTACACCATTTCTATTTAAATAACGCTCTCTTAAATACCTCAGCTGAACCTGTCTCCACCACATTTCCAGGTAGTGCATGTCAGGCACTAACTATTTGCTATGCAAAATAGGTTCTTTTCTCTCAACACCCTTGCTTCTTAAAATCTATGTCCTCTTCTTCTCGTTCCTTTTACAAAGAAACTCAGTAATTAAAGCAATGAGACAAAGTCAGGGTAGGTGTGAATCGCCAATCGAGAAAGATAGCAGTGGATAGAAAGTTGCCATAGTCCAACTAGACCGTAGGGTTGCTTTCTCATTAGAGAGATATGACTGGTAGTGGTTAATCCCAAGGGTCACTGCACCTCAGGCACAGGGAGGCTGTGAGAAGGAGAGTTCTTCTTAGTAACCTAAGCTAGTGCAGGAACTCAACCGTACCGTTTGCATTGGTATTGAAAACCAGCCATCTAGCCAACTGAGCTAACAAACTCTCCAATCTGAAGAACAATTGAGCCAAATACATTTTCCGCATCAGGAGGGCCCAGCAAAAAAAAAAAAAAAATGCCTGGTGATCTCCCAGTATGTTTCAGGGAGGAGATCTTCCATTATGGATATCCCATGGTCAACAGAGAAGCCACCATGAGTGCCATGAGCTTCCACTTAGTAACAACAATACCAATATTTCATAAATCCACCAATCCCTAACCCCCACCAGCAATGGGGCCTGTCTAAGTCAGCAACTTCCGCTACGACCACCCCCAAACCCCCAACACATCAAGGGAGCAGTGTCATAGAGTTACACTCTCATTGGTGGTGCTGCCCCCTGGTGGCACTGAAGTCATTGTGCTGCTGGTCCTTTGCCTGGACTATCAGCCTTGGAGGTGGCATGCCCTTCTTAGTTAGAAAGCAGTCCCAGTGGCGCCTGTTCATTGGGCCATTGTCAATAACCTATATCTCCAAGCTTTGCCACTTCCCACATTTGGCCTGGATGACAGAACTTGCCGCAAACCAGCAAAATTCAGTCTGTTAGCTAAGGGAGATGGTGGCATTGTGTTAATGTCACTGGGTTGGCAATCCAGAACCCTAGGCTAATACTCTGAGCATTTAGGTTAGAATCCCGCCATGGCAGAAAGTGGGATTTAAATTCAATGAAAATCTGAAATAATAAAAATACAACTTGATAGCTCCAACAGTCAGGTAACTCACTACACTCCATGTAACCAATGTTGATTGTCATCACCTGGTCCACTGATGTCCTTTAGGGAAGGTAATCTGCCATCCTCAACTGGTCTGGCCCACATGTGGCTTCAGACCCACACCAATGTGGTTGATCTTAACTGCCCTCTGGCCAATTAGGGATGGGCAATAAATGCTGGCTGGGCAAGCGATTTCTACATCCCATAATTTTTTAAAATTCCTTCATTCACAGGATGGGTTGTCACTGGCTAGGCCAGCATATTGTCCGTTCCTAATTGCCCAGAGGGCAGTTCAGAGTCAACCACATTGCTGTGGGTCTGGAGTCACATGTAGGCCAGACCAGGTAAGGATGGCAGTTTCCTTCCCTCAAGGGCATTAGTGACCCAGATGGATTTTTCCAGATAATCAATGGATTTTTTTTTTATTGAATTCAAATTTTACTATCTGCCGTGGCAGGATTCAAACCCAGATCCCCAAAACATTAGCTGGGTCGCTGGATTAACAATCCAGCAATAAAACCACCAGGCCATCACCTCCTTGTGATCTAGTAAATAAAAACCCTCTGGTTGTCTCTCCACAGATGCTGCCTGACCTGCTGATTATTTCCGTTTGTAGCTCTGATTTCCAGTATTGTCATTTTGCATTAGTGTTTAAACGAAGGTTAATTTTGAAGTCAAAGATACTGGCATTGAAGCAAGCAGTGGACTTGAAGTACAATGAAGCCAGCAGCACCTATCAAGAGAGCTGTATGGAAGCTTCTGCAGAATAATATTCTCCTAGAAAATAAAACAAGGTGTGGACTGTCTTTTGAAAGCTTGTCTGCTACAGGCCAGCAGACTGTCACTCTCAGTGAGTGTGTAACATAAGAAAGTACAGACAGAAGTGTTTAAGCTACTCGCTAAACAAAGTCTTATCATTTATAATATATGCATCCTCAGCCAAAGGTTACTGGTCAAGTATGTGATGATTCATATGTACATCAGAGATTCTAGTTAACAGGAATCAAGACTCACATTCACAAAATTAAAACAAATACCACATTTACTCCCTCCTTCCCTTTCGTGGCACTTCTCCAATTTATACCACGATCTAGTCTGACAGACCATTTAGGGCAAATGAATGGCAACTGAAACTACTTAATTTCAGAAAAGTCCCTATGTAGCAAAATTGTTTTGAAGGGGACACATGCAGACATCACTCAAATCCACAGCGGGGCTTAAATAGGGCCAGTCCTCGTGTATGTTTTCAGGTTGATATTGTCACAAAACTTCACTGTGTCAAATAAGTTGCTGTTGTGGGCAAGTTTAGATCAAAGGTAGAAACGGCTTTCATATGATATTGGGAACTCATTTCAAGTGTAACTAGCTACTGAATAATAAATAGAAAGCAAGAGAATTACTGAAGTTTACACAAACGCCAATTGCAGAAAATTACATTATACAAACATAATCACAGAATATACCTCTCTGCAAGATACCTTCTGCATTTTGATTAAACTTATCAGCATGTAATTCAGCTCACTGATGCCTGCACTCAGGTTGCCAGATATTTTTCAAATACGTAGGAGACATTTCCTCTCACACGTGATTCTTAATCATACTCGTTCTAAAGACGTGACTCCTTCACTTTGTTGCTTGAATGTTTTTACATTTTAATTAGAAATCACAGAACTGAAACTTAACTCGGATTACCTGCTCCTTGCCCATGCGTTGGATTTTTTAAATAACGCCATGGATGCCAGTTTCCGGTCAGCAAGTCACCCTTTATTTACTTGCGCACAGTACATGGACTCTGATCAGCTAGTTCCTAGTCTGTCCATAGAGTGAGGAGAATCCCTGAGATTTCTGATTATATATATGTCAGCCAGGACTCCCTGATTGGCCCAGCTTAACAGCCCCAATCAGGGAACTCATACTCAAGGAGATCCACCTGGCCAACCTTGTTCCATTCACTGCAGTTTTTTTTAAAACAGGGACCATGAGAAACCAAAAATCCTCACCTCTCTCTGGAGTTCCAGTGCATAAACTAAACAGCATCCAGCTTGAGGTAAGGATGTAGCAACAACAAGCCCAAACTGAGGGCTATCGGATATCCACTCAAACTGAATTTACTGAGTTCCAAAGAAGAATCATACGGAACTCAAAACATTAACTCTTCTTCTCTCCACAGATGCTGCCAGA